AATTCTTGCTCACGTAAGCCGGTTGCTCATCGCAGCCGAGCCAGCTGGAGGGAGCAGTGGTGATCTGTAGAATCGGAATTCTAACCCTAAACCCGAAACCCTAAACCGGAAATGCAGCTCGAAGCGTCCGGTCTGTTGGACATGGCTTGGGGACGTTGAGGCTTTATCGGGTTAGGGCAGGTTTACGAAAAGTGGCCACCCCCACTATCGACCCCCCAAATAGTGGGATTCCCTTATCATAACCCCAACTTAGTAGCTGAGTGAGCACACTTTACCCTTTTTGGAATACTACACTGCCCTATAGAACTGAAAGTCTACACCTTTTGGGGGGCTGATGAACCCAGCAACTAAGCCGCCAAGGTACCCCCTAAATTCGGAAACCCCAAAGTCCCTGCTCCCTTCGAGAAACCTTTTGCAGATCTTCCCTGCCCAGATTTGGCGATCAGCTGCCTTGACTTGCTGGCGCTTTTGTTTATTGTTTAGGGTTTAGGGTTGAGGGTATATCGAACACTTCAGCTACTTGCAGGCTATATTCCTAAGCAGCGGGCAAGACTTTTTGAATTGGTCCGGGTTCCGAATGCAGTATCCTTGTGATTGTGATGGGCAGGGAAGGCTTTGACAAGCCACAGGGGACGAGCTCCCGAATGTTTGGGTCCTCACAGACAGGATCGTGAGGCCACAAAAGCTGCTATTTGCTTAAGAACCCCCAGAAAATCGAAAATACTAATCCCTACAGTACCCTTATAAGGAGTGGTTTGTCTATTTTTTTGTGGGGGGGTTTTTAAAGCAAGTCGCAGAAAGTCTTTCTAGAGACTCTCTGGCCAACCGGCCAACGGTCAGCAGGCTTCCAACCCACCGACCATGCAGGAGGCTCGAAAGCATGTATGCGTGGGGAGGAGATGTAAATTCGGGTCTATATATCGGTGCTTAGGGTTTAGGGTGTAGGGTTGAGGGTTTAAGTATACATATATATATATAGATTTATAGAGAAGTATAGCACAGGTGCGTGCATGCCTGCCAACCACACCTCGGGGCTGACGGCGTGGGCCGACGCATAGGGCGCTATGCAGGATGCTCGCACACTTCTGCGCTCCGTCTGCGCTCAGGCTGCCCTGATAAGGCTGCACTGCAGTTCGCGGAGGTCCACGCCCAGACCCATTATTTCAACCGAAATGTCAATTCGCGGAATGCCAATCAAGCGAAAGTGGATGTACAGTAGCATCTTTGTGAATACAGGGGCCCTGATTCATAAGAATAGTTTTTTTTGGGGGGGGGCAAGAATAGTATGAAGTATATCGAAACTGTAAGGGAAAACTATCTTTGTGGTACTTTACCGTAACTTTAGACCCTTACTTTTTTTGGGTTTATTGGGTTTCTTAATAAGGCAGCTAAATTTTTAATTTTTAGCTACCCTCCTAAGTGCAGCCAAGCTATCTGTACTTTCAATGAGCCCTAAAATGTTCAGGCTAACACCTGGACCCAAAGGCCTGGTACTGAATGGTGTAGGGTTTAGGGTTTAGGGTTTAGGGGTTTAGGGTTTAGGGTTTAGGGTTTAGGGTTTAAGGGTTTAAGGGTTTAGGGTAGGTTGCTTCACACCATTGGCATTCCAGGGTCACCTTGCCAAAGCCCAGAGGTCCGAAATTCATCTTCCTGGTCATGTGTCTAAGCATCCGAAACGCCAGTCCCGAAACCCTAAACCCCAAACCCCAAACCCCAAACCCCAAACCCCAAACCCTAAACCCTAAACCCTAAACCCTAAACCCTAAACCCTAAACCCTAAACCCTAAACCCTAAACCCCAACCCCCCAACACCCGCATCCTACGCCTATGCACTTGAGGGCCGCAGCTCCCTTCGAGTGCTTCCAAGTATGTGATCGGCCCTCTGCCGTGGGACTTTCACCCAACCAGGATGGGCGCAGGGTTTATGTTACTGTTTTTGGTGAGTGTATGTAAGGTTCCTGTTAAATATATTTGGTGTCCTTTTGGGGGTACAAGAAATATAAACCCTACTTCATATACTATACTCCCCCCCCCCCCCCTTAAACCCTAAACCCTTTGCAGAAACCCCATAATTTCCAGACTCAACCCTGCAAAGGGCCCTTGCAGGGCTTATAGGGTATCCTTCCCCCCCCCCCTCCCCCCTAAACCCTCAACCCATCCTGGCCTGATCCGATTTTCTGCCGGCCAAGGCGCCAACATATGCTTTGGACAAAAAGCATCGTGGGGTATGGGTTTAGGGTTTAGGGTTTAAAGTTTAGGGTATAAGGTTAGGGTTTAGGGTTGATAAGGGTTTAGTGTTTAGTCTATGGTGAGGGTGTAGAATTGGCACGCGTACGAGTATGACGGCGAACACTATCACAAAGTAACGCCAAAGATCTTGGGGTGGTGTGGCAGACGATAGATAGCAACGAGAATTGCTAGTATTAACAAGAACACGAGCACCACCAACATCAGCAACCGTACTAACAGTCACAACCGGATCTGGCGATTCTGAATAAAAACTCAGAAGCAGCTCACAGAAAAAACCAAATTCTTCGCAACAATAGCCAATTCCAAGTCACTTTTTTCTAGCAATCATAGCAATAGCAGCAGCAAGAGCCGTAGCAACATTGGAGGCACAATAGCAACGCAGTATGCAGATGCCAGTCGCAAGCATCATAGCATTTTAGGACGTATCACACGAAAAAGCCAACCATAATCATACTCGCGTGAATCCCAGTAGTAACTCTCGACCCTGGGTAGGGACAACAACGGGGATGCTCACACAGCGTGTGGGCAGTGCTGTGTTCTTGCCCCTTTTAGTCGATTCTCCGTGCTAAGCCCTACTCAACCCTAAACCCTAAACCCTAAACCCTAAACCCTAAGCCGGCAGAAGGTGAGTCGGTTGCCCAGCTACGTCACCTGACAGCATTGGACATCGTTGGGCAGTTGTCCAGGAAATGTCGTTCAGGCTCTATTCCCAGTGAAGCGACGATTATTTTACTAGGTAGGCTGTTGGCATACTGGATATCTTAAACCCTAAACCCTAAACCCTAATTTTACCGTATTGGGTTTAAGAGGATCGTATTCAGGAATCTTTTTCAGAGGGTTTTATTCGGAGTCATCCCTGCTCAGCATCCAGCTGCGCATTTTTCATTTCGTTCTGATTTTCTGGTTGTTAACATCAGTACCAGTAGGCATATTCAGCCTTGTCGTCATTTCCACTTTTTTGGTGGATGTTTTGATTGGGGTTACTGTTTGTTTTGCTATGAGCATTATGACTAGAAATGCTATGCGGGTTTAGGGGGTAGCGTCTTCCAATTTAGGGCTTAGGAGTTTCAGGTTTCTTTCCAGGTGGAGATCGCAAGGCCTGTTGCAAAAAGCTTCAAGGGTCTCCCTTCAAGCCTTACTTTCCCGGAACCCGAAACCCTGCGAGAGTGAGCGTCAAGGGACATAAGGAGGGACCCTTATCTTACTTCGGCTTTAGCTGAACTTTGAACGTTTTGGGTTTCCTTTTTTAGTAGGAATATTAAAGTTTAACCTTTTTTCCCCTTGGTTATTGGAGAAGTAAGTTCTAGAAGGGACCCTTATAGCCTTATTCCCCTCCATAAGCCCTGGGTACACATATGTATATAGTTCTTCTATACCTAAGTAGCCCCAATGCAGCACCTGAGGTCTCCTGGGCCCTAAGCCCTAATCTCCGAGCCCTAGACCCGAAAACCCTAAACCCTAAACCCTAAACCCTAAACCCTAAACCCTAAACCCTAAACCCTAAACCCTAAACCCTAAACCTTAGTTGTAGAGTAGGTAATCTTCAACCTGTTTGTGGGAATAGAATCCCCTTATATTCCCAAAGGTCAACCTTTAGTTCCCCTAGGCACGGGACGACTAAGCCTAGCCCTAAACCCTAAACCCTAAACCCTAAACCCTAAACCCTAAACCCTAAACCCTAAACCCTAAACCCTAAACCCTTGACGGTCGTTCCAAAGCATGTGGAACGCAGCTTTGTGGCGCCGTCGCGTGCTTGGGCAGTTACACGGTAAGCCCTATAAGGCCGGGGCCCCCTTTTTCTGCTACTAGTTATAGTTAGGGACTTATATCCCAGGTTACGACCCTCGTTGCTCTACGTACAACTACGACGCCTCCTTGTAGACATTCTGGAACTCTCAACCCTTTAAACCCTCAATATAGGCAATTCCAATCATATAGCGTACCAACAATAGGTCATGAAAAGGATAAGTACAATATAACTCTTTCTAGCATTCTTTTGCAACATGAGACCCGAAATGCGTTTATGTTCAAAATCACCGTACGAAGTGTTATGTAAAACACAATGGCCGTACAATACTATACCGCTATAAGATTATTATGTTGCAGGTCTTTGGCCTGTTTCGGAAGCAGAACGGCTGAGCCTTGCAATATTATGATGTCATAATATCAAGTTATAGCAATATCACGATATCAAGAGATGAGCATATACAAGATGACAGAACAATATACCAATATGAAGTCTATTTTGAGACAAAATATTGTATATTAAATGTAATATTATCATAGCGTGGTAAAGAAGAAAATCTGAGAGTTTGCCATCATAGCGGAGGAAACTTGACAATAGAGATTTTGTTTTCATTCCAAGGAATGATCTGAATTCTAATTACTGCAATATAGTACCGCATCAATTAACAAAATGCCCATTAATTCAATTTTAAAAGAATTCGTAACAGCAACCATACTAGCAAGATTGATAATAGTAGTAGTATTCACAATATTCTTATCCGACATACAAGCATAATACAGGCAGTCTTGCATCGGCAATAAACTTAGCCATATTATACTACAAATAACCGCAAGATGTTGAGCGTATGAATTTGAAAAATCTTCACATGAATGTTGGCAGTATTAATATTAACCATATCAGTATACGTTTAAGGCCAATAACCTACCAATTTCAAGAACGCTAATATTGCTAGGAATGATAATACCATAAAACATATGTAAATCACACAAGACTGTTTCTAGGTATGACTGGTATTAGTCATCTGAGTTGCTTGGCAATATTTGCATTGATAAACATGTGTAATAATTAGTATTAGTATGGTATTGATCTGCAATGGCAGTACTACGAAGGCGATTATCAATTCCAAAAGATATGTTGGGACTCGTAACATTCTTTGACCATTGGAAAATTACAAGGAGATTGCTCACATGATGAATCGTTGTACTGGTCTGAGCAAAGCATAATACCAGTATAAATAGACAGATGATCAACATTGATATTATTGTGATAGATTGTGTATGTAGTCATATTACTCTTGATAATCTTCGTGCTTTCTACAAGGAGGGGCCCCACCAGTTATAAGTAGAGTTATATACTATACATGACCGTAAATTGGGTTTATAGGGGTCCTAACTTAGGCTATAAGTCCCTTGACCATAGCTAGTTCGTAGAGGAAAGGGGCCCCCGAAACCCAAAACCCTAAACCCCAAATCAGGCCCAAGTATTCCCTCAAAAGGTACATGGACCCTTGGGAATTAGTACTTTCTAACCATTTTAAAAACCATGTTCCAAAGGACTGCGAATCGCTGACGCTTTGGCTGTGCCCTGCGGCCAGGCACGAGCCCCAACACGAGCTTATTCAGGGTTTGGGGTTTAGGGTTTAGGGTTTAGGGTTTAGGATTTAGGGTTTAGGGTTTAAGGGCTTATAAAGAGCCTCTGCATCCCCAACTCGTTTTTCGGGTTTGGGGGGTTTAGGGCTTAGAGCCCCGGACTCGGTATCCCCAACTCCACACCCCTCCCCCTCTTTAGCTGAATGCAGTGCAACGGAGGGTTTCAGTCTTGGGGGTTTAGAGTTTAGTTTTGCAAGAAAGGCCCTACGGATCCCAACTGCAAAGCTTGCAAGTCAGGAACTCTTTCGGTGAACACATGCGCCTTCAATTCGCTCACACCTTAAGTGCTTCCGTGGGCCATCACCTGGGTGCCCTATCAGATGCAGCTCCCCCGCCGAAGAGATGAGGTTCATGATATTGGTATCTAATGAGGTTTGTGATATTGGTATTTACTTGTCTCTTTTGATGCGGGTATGTGATTATACGTAAAAGCGACTTTGCTATCAAGATATAATATAAATAGATATATATATATAGGTATCATAGTTTTTCTTCGATGTTATGTTGAGAACTAGGTGGCGCTTCTCTGCGGCACAGACTTGCTGCGAGACCTTCAGAAGGCTGTAGTTCGCCTGGGGGTTATGGCGTTTAGGGTTTAGGGTATAGGGTTTAGGGTTTAGGGCTATGGGTTATGGGTTATGGGTTATGGGGCCTCGGGCTTACCCAGAGTAACCGTCGTAGGAACCCAACCCTATTAACCCAGATTGGAGGGTTGAGGGTTTAGGGTTTTGGATTTAGTGTTCAGGCTTTAGGGTTTAACGCTTGGTCATGCTTAGGAATCTCGATTATGATATGTTGCAAGAAGATCATCTTGTCCTCGTGTTTGAAACTGTGTCGGTTGATTGGCTTGCTAGAGTATGGGAGTCCAGTCAGCACTAGAAGCCTCTGCTTGGGCAGTTTCTGGCAACATCCACAGGAGTCTGGATGCAAAAAAGGGTGTAGGTTTTGGGGTTGTCGGTGCAATTGTCATCGAGCCAGCTGACGTAAAGAGCCTGGGTTCAAAAAAAAACATTTTGTGTTTTAAGAGCCCTGGCGCAAAAGGGTTTAGAGGAACCTTTGTGCCCTTAATGCCTTAATCATTGGGGCACTCATGTGTGTCTCATGCGATGTACCATGATTTTGCAATAATTGTGTTTACAAGAGCTGCCCCCCCCCCCCCCCCCCCCCCCCCACCCTGTGAAAAGTAGAGTTATAAGGACCTTAAGTTGGGTTGTAAGGATCTTTAACTTAGGTTATAAGCCCCTTAACTATAGTTAGTCTAGTAGGGGGGACCTTCCCTGTAGGAGATTAGGGCCATAGTTCCAACAAGCGACATGCCAATTCTGGTGGGGGGGGGGGGGGGGGGGGGCAGGGGTGGAGGTTTGGTGCAAGCCGACATTCTGCTTCAGGACATACTGACATGGGGGAGGTTTCCGACAAATAATGGACCCCTAACCCCCGAGTGGTAGGATTCCCTTTTAATTAGGACCCCAATAAGGTTCCCCCAAATTTCGGAAACCCCCACATTGTGGTGATCAGAACATGTTTCAAGCTGATCTCCCCTGTAGTTTGTTTTCTCACCGCGACCTCGACATCTCGGCCCGAAAGCCCTAAAGCCTAAGCCCTCATGTAACCCTAAACCCTAAACCCTAAACCCTAAACCCTAAACCCTAAACCCTAAACCCTAAACCCTAAACCCTAAACCCTAAACCCTAAACCCTAAACCCTAAACCCTATTCTATGTCAGAGCCAGGTGGGTCAGCTGCCCGGGGCTCCTGGACCGTGCGAAGTGACGGTGGGATCCGCAGCTCCTACTATTCTTAAGCAAACAACTCGGCCATATCCTATTTATTGGGGTTTAGGGTTTAGGACTTAGGATTTAGGGTTTAGGGATTCTTCCTTATACGGGAAATAATATAGGGACTTATAGGGATTATTCTTTGTTTTCTTTGGGGGGGGCTCTTTAGCAAATAGCAGGCCCTCTAAATCCGAGCATCGGCGTCCTGAAAGGCTTCTAGGCATTTAGGGCCCAGGGATTTCAGGGTTTAGGGTTTAGGGCCTAGGGGTTGAGGGTTATAACGGTTTCTCCCGACGTGTCAGTTGTCAGATGTTCCTGCGCAGTTGCAGGCCATGGTATCTCGCAAGTGGGACGAGAAGCTGCAGGACGCTTTTGGGCGCTCATTGTCTCAGGTTCGGGGTCTTCCGGGTTTTTCAGCTTGTCGGCCCTCAGTCGTGTCATTATTGTTCCCTGAACCTTTAGAATGAAACATCTTTCTTGGAGATCTTCCACTTACTATGACCCCATGACAGCTACGGCATTTTTTCGCCCGTAGATCGCCCCTGCTCAAAAACACGCACACACACGGACAGAAACACAGACACACAGGCACACACGCTTGTCTGCGTGACCAAACGCGCACCCACACGCCCCCGCATGCATCCGCACGCACCTGCACCCACACACTCACGCGCACGCGCGCACGCGCACGCACGCAAAAAAATCAAGTAAGGCAAAGGCCTGCAGGCCCCCAACAGCTTCAGAAGCTTGAACATGCAGAATGTCCCAGTCCGATTGTCCTCGAGTAGACTCAGGCCTTGCGTCCTGGCTCCGGAAAGAGCCCTAAACCCTAAGCCCTAAACCCCTGGGGCTTGATTTCAGAACTATTTCAGACTTAGGGCTCTGTTCGTGGCTTCGAACGAGCCAACGCAAAATCCAGCAGTTCTTCTCTCACACACTTGCATATTGGATACGACATAGCGCAAGTTGTTTCAAAGATGGTGCTGCCCTCAGTCCATGCTTCCGCAAGTAGAAGCTTGGACTTTCAGTGCGCGGAATCGCGCCCCCGCGGACCAAAGCGACTGCAAGAGTTCCCGAGTGAAACCTCCAGAGCTCTCAATCCAAGATGTTATTAGGGTTTAGGGTTTAGGGTAGTTTAGCCTGCTGTAAAAAAAGGGTAGTTTATTAGGGTTTAGGCTGCTTAGTCTGATCCTTTAACCAGAATTTAGAACACAGAAGGGCTTGGGTGCACGGTACCACCTACAAGGGGGGCCCCCTAGTTACAAGTAGAGTTATACGGGCCCCACACTGGGATTTCAGTGGCGTCACTTATACTGCCCTTACATATACCCTAAACCCTAAGCCCCATAAAGTTAGTCTAAACAAAAAGACCCCCCCCCAACCTTGAAATATAGGGCTCGGAATAATTACTAGTATTCCCTTATGGTCCCTTTATGCTTATATTATAAGAACCCCCAAAACCCTGTTCTAATTAATTAAGGTTCTTACCGTAGAAGGAAACCCTAAACCCTAAACCCTATAAACCCTAACCCTAAACCCTAAACCCTAAACCTTAGCAAAGGGACGCCCTTATCTTGTAGAAGGAACTTATGGTGGACTCCTACCACTTCACGGCTGCTGGCATTGCCTCGCTCGCCGACGGCCTTTTCTTTGCGTCGTCACGGCGAGGCAGAGAGTTCTGCGCGTCCTGGGGTGCCTATATCCTTGGTAGCCTTAAACCCTAAACCCTAAACCCTAAACCCTAAACCCTGTACCTTTTTTGTTTGGTTATGGGTTCCATTACAGCGTAACCAACCCAAAAGGGTGCCCTTATTACATGTGGGTACTGGGCTGCCAAGTATCACGCCACCTTCACTACAAGGAACAGACCCCTATATGTTACAAGTATACCCAAACCCTCCCTAGAGTCACCTTGTACCGGAAGAAAGCGTAGTATCTTTCAACATAGTTAACATAGTTGGAATACACTGCCCTCTAAGGGTACAAAGCTTGCTCCTTAGGTAAAACCCCCCCACCCGTTTAGGGTTTAGGGTTTAGGGTTTAGGGTTTAGGGTTTAGGGTTTAGGGTTTAGGGTTTAGGGTGTGAGCCCCAAACCTGGACAGGGATGGAGAAGCTGAGGGCCGAAGACTCGACGCGGGAGGTCTGCTGCCCAGTTGCAGACCCGGCTGAAGCCCGGAGAACTTGGGGTTTAGGGTTGGGGTTTAGGGTTTAGGGTTTAGGGTTTGGGGTTTAGGGTTTAGGGTTTGGGGTTTAGGGTTTGGGGTTTGGGATTTGGGGTTTGGGGTTTTAAGGATGGCTGGGGTGCATCTCAACAGCGACAGAGGCAGTCCTTACAGTGGGAACCCAGCGCAGGTTCAGTTCTGTAGTTGTTCCGGAAGCTCAGCGTAAAAGAGAGAGAGAGAGAGACAGAAAGAGAAAAACCACCCTATGCCCCAAGAAAGAAAGAAAGAAAGATAAAAAAGTCTGTGCGCCCAGAACCAGAAAATCCATCACCAACTCGGGTTATGTGCTATATGTATATATACATGCACACGCACATCTATATAAATATATAAATATAAAAAGAAACATAAATAAAAATAAATAAATAAATAAATATAAATATATATATTTATACATATAATGAAAACACACATATGTGCCCTTGAAAGGGGAGTTGTATCTTATGAGGGCATCTGAACCATTCTTTCTTGGAGGTGCTGGGATTCATCTCCCAGCTATGTGTGAACTCACGAATAGAATAACAGATAACTCCTAAGAACATGGGCTTTCGGCCCCTAAACCCTAAATCCTAAACCCCTTAGCACCATAAACACCCGAACCCAAAACCTAGACTTACTTACTGGTTGCTCTTAAGCTGTCCCTTAACTGTAGTGCTTTTTGAGGTACCTAGTTTTCTTGTTACCCTAAGGCTCTTGGGCCCTCAAAACCCCAAGATTTAAGAGCCCAGAACCCTTGCTAGGAGGTACCAGTCCCTCTGTAGCAGGGTCCTTGGAGCCTTAGGGTACATTGTACCAACCTTACGAAAGCAAGCCGGAAACAACAGGACCATGGAAGCAAGACACGAGCCTCAGGTCACGCGCAACGACGGATCGGTCGGCAAGATGCTGCCCGAACTGATTTGTGTGTGTGTTTACTATATATATATATATACTTATATTTATTTATATATATACATATATATATATATATGGTTAAGTTTTTGTGTCAATGTACAGTGAAAACTACATATCCGCACATGCGCGGTTTAAATCGTCAGGTTGTGCACCATGTCGCAGCCTGCGATGTTGTGAGGGATTATAGGGTTTAGGATTTAGGGTTTAGGGTTTAGGGTTTAGGGATTGTAGGGTTTAGGGTTTAGGGTTTAGGGTTTAGGGTTAGGGTGGCTGTATAAGCTGGTCCCTTTTGAGGGGGAATGTGGCTTTTGAAACGTGCAGACGGACTTCGGCGTAAGGTTTCCAGAATATGCCCCCGGAAGCCGCAACCTGCCCCCAAACTTCAAGGGGTTTAGGGTTTAGGGTTTAGGGTTTAGGGTTTAGGGTTTAGGGTTTAGGGCCTACCCCCCTGGCTTTTGAGGTTGGTCCAGGAAGGCAGGTGCCTGGTGGAATCCATGAAGCGCCCCGGATGGGAACTCGAAGAATACTGGTTCTGAGCTTACTCCCCACCCCCCGCCTATATACATGCCCTGTAAGGGATTATACGTAGAATAAATAAATAAACAAATATATATATATATATATATTGTTTATTTATATATATTTTGTATCTATTTGTTTTTTAGATTCATATTTGCATGTATATTTATTTGTATATTTGTGGGCATATAAGGTACCCAAATCCCTCTCATTTCCCTACTAGGATGACTCGGAACTAGTAGGCATAGCGCATCATTAGGCTTCTCCGTGCAAGCCTTTTGCCTAAGAGGGGGCTTCCCTCCTACCCCTCTACAGGGTTTAGGGTTTAGGGTAACCGTAATTAGGCTTAATGATCCCTAAATAGCCTTAATTATGAAGGGCAACCTAGGGGGGCGGTAGCATAGAGGGCGGTAGTGGGGGGAACCCATGATGCTTGCGTGTCAGTTGCTATGAACCTTTGCCTGGCCAGCTTGGGGCCAATAGTGGAACTTTAGACTTGCTTCGTTACCCTGAACCCTAAACCCTAAACCCTATAAACCCTATAAACCCTATAAACCCGAAACCCTAAACTTGGTTTCCTTTCGATTCGAGTTTGGGGTTTAGGGTTTTGGGGTTTAGGGTTATTAGGGGGACTAAGTTTACGTCTTTTTCTCTTCTGGTTTATTGGAGAAGTACATCAACAGGAAGCCCCCAACCCAGGTATTTTGTAGGCGCTGAGTACGGAACCCACAGCAGGCTCCCAGTCAACCAACGAAAATGAGATTTGGGGCTCTCCAGGTCGTCGACCCTGACATATTCTTTAGGGTTTAGGGTTTGGGGTTTAGGGCTCTTTTATCACCTTAACCTCAGCCTAAAACCCCTGCATGCTAAACGTTGGCTTTCAGCTCTACCTAGAGTAACCTTGTACCTTTAGAAAGGGTGCATTGCCCAAAACTTGAGGCACATTCCCTTTTTCAAGGGCACAAAGGTTCCTCTAAACCCTGAACCCTCAACCCTAAGCCTTAACCACATAGGTTATGGTATAGGTTTATCCAAGACCCTAAATCCTGAACTCTAAACCCTAAACCCTAAACCCTAAAGCCACCCCAGGAATGGCCAGGCGCCTGATGGTGGGCTCTGGGTTGCTGGTAGGAAGATGCGGATCCTGCGCCACGATACGGACCAGACGCGCTGCACAGATGTGGGGGGGGGGGGGGGTTCAGGGTTTAGGGTTTAGGGTTTATAGTGTTTATAGGTTTTAGGCAAAAGGGCTTCTCGTTTACAGGAAAGAGCTCCAGTCCAGCTGTACGAAACGCCGTAAGGGGATGGTCTGGTCGATCCTCCTCAGGGTTTAGGGTTTAGGGTTTAGGGTTTAGGGTTGAAAAGTGTAGGGTTTAGCACTGGCTAGTCCCCAGCCCTGTTGCAAAAAGGGTTTAGGGTGTAGGCTCATGGGCAAACTGCGCCGCCGCAGGACGACCACCTCCCGACGCTGATTGCGATCAGCAAAGAGTGGACCGTAGAAGGCCCCGGAGGGACAGAAACCTGCAAGAAGGGCCCCCCCGCCCCCCTTTAGGGTTTGGGGTTTAGGGTGTAGAGTTTAGGGTTTAGGGTTTAGGGTTCAGGGCTTGGGGTTTCGGGTTTAGGGGGCCGCCTTGCTATACTAGCTATAGTTAAGGGCAGTAATTATAAACCTAAGTTAGGATCCTCATTTCCCAGTTAAAGGGTCCTTGTAACTCTAGTGATATCTGGGGGTGGCCCCTCCTTGTAAGCACCGTCGGACTCCCCCGATAAGAACACCATGCAAATGTATGCGAGCCATTTTGGCTTATAAGCACGCACAACTGCTCCAAAAGAGAAGACAAGCTCTCCTTCTCCTGCCAAAACAAGGCCTGGAAGCACCATGAACGTGTCGGTGGACTCCCTGACGATCACCGTGGCGGGCGGTCGCAAGCTCCTCTCCGAGGTGAACTGCCTCGTGCAGCCGGGGGACATGGTGGCGCTGATGGGGCCCTCCGGAGCCGGCAAGACCACCCTGCTGAACAGCATGGTGCCTTAGGGACCACATGTACCCTAAACTACTATTATCCCTATACTACTATCATGAAGTGGGGGGAGGGGGGTGGGGGGGAGGGGGGGTTTGCTTATCCATAGCTTATCCTCCATTAAGCATGAGAAGCTGGAATTGCAGAGGATAAGCATAGGATAAGCAAAGGATTTGTACAGGATAAGACAAGTCCAGGATAAGCGTAGGATAAGCAAGTTATTCCTTTTGGAACTGATTGCCATTGGGCAGGCTGCAAAACAACTTTTATGAGCATGAGTGTTGTTCAAAGAGATGCTGTGAAATAGCCCACAAAGAGAGAACCGATAAGCAAAGAGATGCTCTGCAATAGCCCACAAGAGACAACCGACAAGCCTTCAAAGACGGGTCACACGTCAAGAGCCGTGCGCTGACTACATCAAAAGCAAAGGCCAATGTTTTGGGGTTTAGGGTCTCGGGTTTAGGGTCAAAAGGGTTTAGGGCAAAGGGTAAAGAAGCCCAGCCGAGGATAAGCCCAGGATAAGCACAGATGAGCCAGGAGAATCCCGCAGGATAAGGTCAGGATAAACCCAAGATAAGGGAGAATCCCCAGGATTTCAGGGATGAGCGCAGGATAAGCCCAGGATAAGCCCAGGATAAGCCCAGGATAAGCTCAGGATAAGGGAGAATCCCCTGAGCGGGCAGGGGCTTCAGGGATGAGCACAGGATAAGCCCAGGATAAGCCCAGGATAAGCCTAGGAAGCCCAGGATAAGCCCAGGATAAGGGAGAATCCCCTAAGTGGGCAAGGATTTCTGGGATAAGCACAGGATAAGCCCAGGATAAGCCCAGGATAAGCCTAGGATAAGCCGAGGACAAGCCCAGGATAAGGGAGAATCCCCTATGTGGGCAAGGATTTCAGGGATAAGCACAGGATAAGCCCAGGATAAGCCCAGGATAAGCCTAGGATAAGCCCAGGATAAGCCCAGGATAAGGAGAATCCCCTTAGTGGGCAAGGATTTCTGGGATAAGCACAGGATAAGCCCAGGATAAGCCCAGGATAAGCCTAGGATAAGCCGAGGATAAGCCCAGGATAAGGGAGAATCCCCTTAGTGGGCAAGGATTTCAGGGATAAGTGCAGGATAACCAGGATAAGCCTACGATAAGCCCAGGATAAGCCCAGGATAAGGGAGAATCCCGTTAGTGGGCAAGGATTTCAGGGGTGAACCCAGGGTAAGCCCAGGCTAAGACCAGGATGAGGGAGAACCCCCTTTTGAGCAAGGATTTTCAGGGGTGAGCCCAGTAAACAGGTTGTTGGGGCTTAAGGTCAAGTGTCTCGGGGTTTGCTGCTTGTAAGGGCTTAGGGCTGAGGGTTGAGCGTTTCGGGGAAACCCCGGAATGAAATCAGCGGCATAGTCTCATCCCTAAGCCTGAAACCCTAAACCATTTCGACGCATTCAACCTTCAACAGTTAAACCCTGAACTTTCCAAAGTGTAAACCCAGAACTCCTTTCAAGACTCATCGGTGTTCATTCGCAACTCCATTTTTCATCTTCCAAATGAGTTTTTTGTGTGTCTCAGATGTCCATATGGATTCACAATGGAGAGATTTCAGACCACAAAGTTCTCGTCGAAGCTTCATGGATTATACCAGGATTAGCTAAGGATTAACCAAGGATTTCCAAGTATGCCAAAAGTGATTAATGTAGCATAAGCTATGGATAAGCAAACCCCCCGTCCCCCCCACCCCCCTCCCCCCACTTCATGATACTAGTATCCCTAAGGTATATGAACCATAAACCCTTTTTAAGGTTCATTCGGCCCTTAAGGTGGGCAGAAGCATCATGGGCAGTGTGAGCGGAGGCATCAGCTACAACGGCAAGAGTCTGGGGACCGTGCGCAGCAACATTGGCTATGTGACCCAAGACGACATCATGTACGAGACCTTGACGCCTCGTGAGAACCTGTCCTTTGCGGCATCGTTCATTCTCCCAAAGCTCGGAAAGGCGCAGCAAAAGGAAGTCGTGGAAGATGTCATCAACAAGCTGAACTTGGCCAAATGTGCTGACACCGTTGTGGGTTCACCTGGGCTGGTCCGGGGCATCTCCGGGGGAGAGCGGAAGCGGACGAATGTGCCTTAGTGACTACTTGGTGCTCATAAGCTGGGCGCTGGGCTTCTCTACCCTATAACTAGTAGAATCCGTATTCTCAGGTACTATGAAGCCATATAAACCCTTTTAAGGTTTGGCCCTTGTAAGGTGGGCTTGTCCTTGATTGGCAAGCCTGCGTTGCTACTCCTCGACGAGCCCACGAGCGGTTTGGACTCGAAGATGTCCGACTCCCTGATGAAGGATGTGGCTGGGATGCCTTGAGCAGCTTTACAAGCCCTAAACCCTAAGCCCTAAAACCCTAAAATCCTAAACCCTAAACCCTAAACCCGAGGTTTTCTCGCCTAGCGGTAGAGCGCTGGGAGGGGAGGGAGGGGGTGGCGGGGGGGCGGGCTTCTAAAAGGGGGGCTTCTATGGCAGCTTTGTATATTCAACTTGAGAAGTCAGGTGAAGACCGTGGCGGAGCAGGGCTGCACGGTGGTCGCGACGATCCATCAGCCGTCCGAGTTGGTCTTCAGCCGCTTTGACAAGGTCTTGCTGCTGGCCGGCGGCCAGACGGCCTACTACGGGCCCATCAAAGGCCTCAAGGGGTTCCCCCTCCTACCACCCCCCCTCTATACTACCCCCTTGTAGGTCCTAATTAAGGTTATGCCATAGGGGGGAACCAAAGGGGGGGGGCTAGTATAGAGAGGGGGGTAGTAGTGAAACCCTAAACCCTAAACCCCAAACCCCAAACCCTAAACCCCAAACCCCAAACCCTAAACCCATGAAAGGCCTCCGCGACTCCTTGAGCAACCTGGGCTTCCTGTGTCCGCTTGGCACGCCTCTGCCGGAGCTGCTGCTGGATGTCCTCGAAAAGCCCGCAGCAGGCAACTCTTTGTTTCAGAACCCCACCCCCCCCCCCCCCCCCCCCAAAAAAAAAAAAAAAAAAACGAAAGATTCTTCCTTGCAAATATGAGGGTAATATAGGGATTATCAGCTTTTATGTTTTCTTTTGGGGGGGGGGGGGGCTCTTATAACCAAAGAGTAGAAGGCGCGGACAGAGAAGAGCACGAGAAGAAGCTCATCAACTTGAGGGCGCTGACCGACTCCACCGGAAAGGACAACACGGTCTTCAGCCCGGCAGGATCGGAGATGCCGGCTGCCAGGCGAGCCGGCTTCTGCAAGCAGCTGGCCATACTCTTTCAGCGCGAGGCTGTGAACGTGAAGCGCAACTTAGTGGCTGAATGAGTACACTTTACACTTATTAATATACACTTTACACTTATTTCAGATACGAGAATCCCCTACAGAACTGAAAGTGTACACTTTTTGGGGGGCCTTATTGAACTCGGCAACTAAGGCAACAAGCCTCTCACGGTCGTGCGAGCCGTGCAGTCCATCGCGGCTGCGCTGCTCATCGGACTGATCTTCGTTCAGCTCGAGCGAAACATGACCAGCATTCAGGTTCGCCTCTTTGCCAGCTTCCTCTTGGTCTTTGCCCAGTTCATGCTCCTTTCTTCTAGCCACTAGTAGAACTTTTAAGCTTTCTGGGTTTTCCTATATTTAGTAGGGCCAAGAAAGTTCCCTAAACCCTATAAATCCTGAACCCTAAACCCTAAATCCTAAACCCTAAACCCTAAACCCTAAACAAGGTTCGCCATCCTTGGGGTGGCAAATGCTTTTCCGGCGGAGAGGGCGGTCTTTCTACGTGAGACGCAAGACACTTGGTAGCTTAGGGTTTAGGGTTTAGGGTTTAGGGTTTAGGGTTTAGGGTTTAGGGTTTAGGGGCCTTTTTGGGGGTTCAAGGTCGAAGGGTTTCGGTTTAGGGTTTAGGGCCCTTATACAGTAGCCAACCCCAAAAAGGGGTAGAACAAGGGAAACAAGTTTTTTTACTGGGCTACCAAGGACAAGCTTTACCATCCAGCAGCCTTCTACCTGGCCAAAGTGGCCATTGACACTGTGTTGCAGAGCCTCTTCCCCATCCTGGTCGTTGCTGTGGCCTATCCCCTTATCGGCCTGAATGGGGAGAGTGCCGACCGAGTGCTGTGGTTCTACTTCATAATGGCCATAGTGTCGAATTGTGGCGCAGCTGTGGGATTCATGGTGTCCGCTGCTGTGCCCAGCGTGACCATCGCCTTGTCGATTGTGCCAGGCCTTGTGATGCCACAGCTGCTGCTCTCTGGCATCTTCATCAAGGTGGAAGATCTAGTCCAGCCTTTCAATGCCCTGAGCTATCTTATGGTTGCACGCTATGCTGTCCAGGCTACAGTGACCAACGAGTTTTCCTGTTCTGCCAAGCAGGACTGCGACGCTCAAGTGTGGCGTGTGGCTGACCCCAACCAGTGCAGTGCGTCCCCTTGCGACTTCTGCTGCACCGCCCACGAAAAGCTCGCGTCGGGGGGGATTTGCCCCACTCTCACCTGCGACGATGCGCTTCGGTTCCTGGCCTTGGATGAGATTTGGCCAAGTGGGGACACACACGAGGAGACGATCATCTACAATGTTGCGGCGCTGCTCATCCTCCTCCTTTTCTTCCGGCTGCAAGGGCTGAATGTCCTGATGATGAGCTACCGGAAGGCGACGACAGGAAGGTGCTTGCCCTGTCGCTTTTCCAGGCCTGCAGCGGTCAATTCCGAGGTGTCGGTTTGAGGTCGCTTGTGCAGAGAGAGCCTCTCGGGCTAGGCTTTACCTGTGTGCTGAACCTTGTCTAGCCCGCCTACCTTTCGCAAAATGCCTGCAAAGAAGGGTAGGAAGTAATAGTACAGCCTTTTAAGCCGCTGGGGAACATTGCCCATGAAGGGCAGCTTACCCAGCTCTGTGCAACTTTGAATGGAGAGGCCAGAGGAGCAAGTCATTGCAGAGCTCACCGACCCTGGGTTTAGGGTTTAGGGTTTAGGGTTTAGGGTTTGCATCTGCAAAGTTGTACCCAAGCTACTTGGCTCACGCAAAACTTGGTTTTCTGGCCACATCCAGTCACCAGAAGCCTGGCTTGCCAGAATGGACTGGGGAACTGGGAGCGGTGAATTCACCTTTCGACGACGCGTTGAGTTGCTTTCGTTCAATTCCCTAGGGCTCCAACTACACAAATAACACCTACATTGGGGTCTAAAGTCTGTAAAGAATACCTGCTTTGGGCTATTTGGAGCCTTAGGGATCGTCTGTACGATTTTGATCGCCCGATGCTGGCTTGCCAAAATGGATTGGGGAGCTGGCCCGGGTGACAAAGTCAAAGATCGACGGAGTCTCGTGCTCCGATTGAACGCAACAGAAAAGTCTCCAAGAAGTTGTAGCTGATGTTTGGTCGAGAGGTCTTTTTTGGTCTAGTATAGGTGCTCTCGTGACTGCGCGTTGAACTCTAGTGCACCCATCCCGAAGTTGTTACCCCGGAAACCTACAAGAAGGGACCCCCCCCCCCCTTTAGGGTTTGGGGCTTAGGGTGTAGAGTTTAGGGTTTAGGCTTCAGGGCTTGGGGTTTAGGGTTTAGGGTTTCGGGTTTAGGGGGTCGCCTTGCTGTGGTTAAGGGGCGTATAAACCTAAGTTAGGATCCTCATTTCCCAGTTTAGGGTCCTTGTATAGTTGTATCTGGGGGTGGCCCCTCCTTGTAAGCGCCGAACCCCGTGGGCACTCCCCCGGCAAGAACACCATGCAAATGTATGCGAGCCATTTTGGCATATAAGCACGCACAACTGCTCCAAAAGAGAAGACGCCAAAACAAGGCCTGGAAGCACCATGAACGTGTCGGTGGACTCCCTGACGATCACCGTGGCGGGCGGTCGCAAGCTCCTCTCCGAGGTGAACTGCCTCGTGCAGCCGGGGGACATGGTGGCGCTGATGGGGCCCTCCGGAGCCGGCAAGACCACCCTGCTGAACAGCATGGTGCCTTAGGGACATGTACCCTAAACTACTATTATCCCCATACTACTATTATCCCTAAGGTATATGAACCATAAACCCTTTTAAGGTTCATTCGGCCCTTAAGGTGGGCAGAAGCATCATGGGCAGTGTGAGCGGAGGCATCAGCTACAACGGCAAGAGTCTGGGGACCGTGCGCAGCAACATTGGCTATGTGACCCAAGACGACATCATGTACGAGACCTTGACGCCTCGTGAGAACCTGTCCTTTGCGGCATCGTTCATTCTCCCAAAGCTCGGAAAGGCGCAGCAAAAGGAAGTCGTGGAAGATGTCATCAACAAGCTGAACTTGGCCAAATGTGCTGACACCGTTGTGGGTTCACCTGGGCTGGTCCGGGGCATCTCCGGGGGAGAGCGGAAGCGGACGAATGTGCCTTAGTGACTACTTGGTGCTCATAAGCTGGGCGCTGGGCTTCTATACCCTATAACTAGTAGAATCCGTATTCTCAGGTACTATGAAGCCATATAAACCCTTTTAAGGTTTGGCCCTTGTAAGGTGGGCTTGTCCTTGATTGGCAAGCCTGCGTTGCTACTCCTCGACGAGCCCACGAGCGGTTTGGACTCGAAGATGTCCGACTCCCTGATGAAGGATGTGGCTGGGATGCCTTGAGCAGCTTTACAAGCCCTAAACCCTAAGCCCTAAAACCCTAAAATCCTAAACCCTAAACCCTAAACCCGAGGTTTTCTCGCCTAGCGGTAGAGTGCTGGGAGGGGAGGGAGGGGGTGGCGGGGGGGCGGGCTTCTAAAAGGGGGGCTTCTATGGCAGCTTTGTATATTCATCTTGAGAAGTCAGGTGAAGACCGTGGCGGAGCAGGGCTGCACGGTGGTCGCGACGATCCATCAGCCGTCCGAGTTGGTCTTCAGCCGCTTTGACAAGGTCTTGCTGCTGGCCGGCGGCCAGACGGCCTACTACGGGCCCATCAAAGGCCTCAAGGGGTTCCCCCTCCTACTACCCCCCTCTATACTACCCCCTTGTAGGTCCTAATTAAGGTTATGGCATAGGGGGGAACCAAAGGGGGGGGCTAGTATAGAGAGAGGGGTAGTAGTGAAACCCTAAACCCCAAACCCTAAACCCTAAACCCTAAACCCCAAACCCTAAACCCTAAACCCTAAACCCTAAACCCTAAACCCTAAACCCCAACCCGAAACCCCAAACCCCTAAACCCCTAAACCTCTTAAACCCATGAAAGGCCTCCGCGACTCCTTGAGCAACCTGGGCTTCCTGTGTCCGCTTGGCACGCCTCTGCCGGAGCTGCTGCTGGATGTCCTCGAGAAGCCCGCAGCAGGCAACTCTTTGTTAAAGAACCCCCCCCCCCCCCAAAAAAAAAAAAAAACGAAAGATTCTTCCTTGCAATTATGAGGGTAATATAGGGATTATCATCCTTTATGTTTTTTGGGTGGGCTCTTATAACCAAAGAGTAGAAGGCGCGGACAGAGAAGAGCACGAGAAGAAGCTCATCAACTTGAGGGCGCTGACCGACTCCACCGGAAAGGATACCACGGTCTTCAGCCCAGGGGGATCGGAGATGCCGGCTGCCAGGCGAGCCGGCTTCTGCAAGCAGCTGGCCATACTCTTTCAGCGCGAGGCTGTGAACGTGAAGCGCAACTTAGGAGCTGAATGAGTACACTTTACACTTATGAATATACACTTTACACTTATTAATATTTGAGATACGAGAATCCCCTACAGAACTGAAAGTGCACACTTTTTTGGGGGGGCCTTATGAACTCGGCAACTAAGGCAACAAGCCTCTCACGGTCGTGCGAGCCGTGCAGTCCATCGCGGCTGCGCTGCTCATCGGACTGATCTTCGTTCAGCTCGAGCGAAACATGACCAGCATTCAGGTTCGCCTCTTTGCCAGCTTCCTCTTGGTCTTTGCCCAGTTCATGCTCCTTTCTTCTAGCCACTAGTAGAACTTTTAAGCTTTCTGGGTTTCCCTATATTTAGTAGGGCTAAGAAAGTTGCCTAAACCCTATAAATCCTAAATCCTAAACCCTAAACCCTAAACCCTAAATCCTAAACCCTAAACCCTAAATCCTAAACCCTAAACCCTAAACCCTAAACCCTAAACCCTAAACAAGGTTCGCCATCCTGGGAGTGGCAAATGCCTTTCCGGCGGAGAGGGCGGTCTTTCTACGTGAGACGCAAGACACTTGGTAGCTTAGGGTTTAGGGTTTAGGGTTTAGGGTTTAGGGTTTAGGGTTTAGGGTTTAGGGGCCTTTTTTGGCGTTCAAGGTCGAAGGGTTTCGGGTTTAGGGTTCAGGGTCCTTATACAGTAGCCAAGCCCAAAAAGGGTAGAACAAGGGAAACAAGTTTTTTTGCTGGGCTACCAAGGACAAGCTTTACCATCCAGCAGCCTTCTACCTGGCCAAAGTGGCCATTGACACTGTGTTGCAGAGCCTCTTCCCCATCCTGGTCGTTGCTGTGGCCTATCCCCTTATCGGCCTGAATGGGGAGAGTGCCGACCGAGTGCTGTGGTTCTACTTCATAATGGCCATCGTGTCGAATTGTGGCGCAGCTGTGGGATTCATGGTGTCCGCTGCTGTGCCCAGCGTGACCATCGCCTTGTCGATTGTGCCAGGCCTTGTGATGCCACAGCTGCTGCTCTCTGGCATCTTCATCAAGGTGGAAGATCTAGTCCAGCCTTTCAATGCCCTGAGCTATCTTATGGTTGCACGCTATGCTGTCCAGGCTACAGTGACCAACGAGTTTTCCTGTTCTGCCAAGCAGGACTGCGACGCTCAAGTGTGGCGTGTGGCTGACCCCAACCAGTGCAGCGCGTCCCCTTGCGACTTCTGCTGCACCGCCCACGAAAAGCTCGCGTCGGGGGGGATTTGCCCCACTCTCACCTGCGACGATGCGCTTCGGTTCCTGGCCTTGGATGAGATTTGGCCAAGTGGGGACACACACGAGGAGACGATCTCCTACAACGTTGCGGCGCTGCTCATCCTCCTCCTTTTCTTCCGGCTGCAAGGGCTGAATGTCCTGATGATGAGCTACCGGAAGGCGACGACAGGAAGGTGCTTGCCCTGTCGCTTTTCCAGGCCCGCAGCGGTCAATTCCGAGGTGTCGGTTTGAGGTCGCTTGTGCAGAGAGAGCCTCTCGGGCTAGGCGTTACCTGTGTGCTGAACCTTGTCTAGCCCGCCTACCTTTCGCAAAATGCCTGCGAAGAAGGGTAGGAAGTAATAGTACAGCCTTTTAAGCCGCTGGGGAACATTGCCCATGAAGGGCAGCTTACCCAGCTCTGTGCAACTTTGAATGGAGAGGCCAGAGGAGCAAGTCATCTCGCCCACCCTGGGTTTAGGGTTTAGGGTTTAGGGCTTAGGGTTTGTCTCTGCAAAGTTGTACCCAAGCTACTTGGCTCACGCAAAACTTGGTTTTCTGGTCACATCCAGTCACCAGAAGCCTGGCTTGCCAGAATGGACTGGGGAGCTGGGGAGCGGTGAATTCACCTTTCGACACGTTGAGTTGGTTTCGTTCAATCGTCTGTATGATTTTGATCGCCCGATGCTGGCTTGCCAAAATGGATTGGGGAGCTGGCCCGGGTGACAAAGTCAAAGATCGACGGAGTCTCGTGCTCCGATTGAACGCAAAAGAAAAGTCTCCAAGAAGTGGTAGCTGATGTTTGGTCGAGAGGTGTTTTTTGGTCTAGTACAGGTGCTCTCGTGACTGCGCGTTGAACTCTAGTGCACCCATCCCGAAGTTGTTACCCCGCAGTGCAGCTGATCCGCTGGGC